ACGTGACATACGGTGGAACTTTCCAGAAGCTCGAGAGGGGCAGAGAGAACGAAGCCGTGAGAGCGTAGTGGAATCGTGGAAAAGGCACGGAAGGAAAAGAGAAGGAACCAGTCAAGGTATGATGGGGTATAATGGTAAGCTGGTAGGCGAAAACGTGCCGGCGGAGAACAGTCTGTCTATTGCTTGCGAGCGGCCGAATGCGTGTTACGTGAAATACAGCACATCGTGTCTTACCTTCGTTCTCGAAACGGGTACTAGGCACAGAGGCCATGGCTGCATCATCTGTCTTCTCTGAGAACCGGACATCTCGCAGGGCACGTACACCGGGTGCTTCCTTGCCAACCGGACTGTGTGTCTCTTATCCGTAACCACAATCCACGCCGTCCACCGGCCAATCTAACCGTCGAATCCTCTCCTCCGTTTTTCCTTTTTCTTTTTTTCTACCTTTTTCGTTACTCGCGCGGTTCACCTCATACACGCCGCGCGTATAATTCTATTCGCGCACGACGCGAACGGTATTGTTTTCTTCGATTTTCTTTGATTTCGAAGTATGCTCCCGATCGTTCAGATTGACTATAGGTATATGCTGGTATAGGTCTTCTTGCTCCTTACGACGCAATGTAGGAAATGGCTATGTATAGCTTGAGCAATGATACGACCACGCCGTGTAGACGATCCAACGTGTTTCGAAGTTACGTAGCTCCAATTCACCGCCACTGCCACTGGTACCACCGAGACACCACCGCTACCCTGTGTATCGTGTTGCGTCGTGCTGCGTTGTACCTTCCTTCGCTTGCTATCGGCCTGCCAGCCTACCAGTCTGCCAACCTGTCAGCCGGCTCTCGCACCGTTTTCGCTCTCGCCGCTTTTGCTATACCTGTGGCGTCTGTATCCACCTCGTGGATAGTCGTTTCGAACCGTGCCCGACCAACTTGATTCGTTTCCACGACGACTAGGTCGCGTTTAAGTATCTATATTTAAACGTGTCTTTTCTTCGACGCCGATTCTTCCAATCTTCGGCACAGCTTTTCTCCTTATTTCGCCACTCTGTCGATATTAATGTGTATATGTAGTATTGTACACGTTAGTGGATACAGTAGCATTCTATATGTATGTATATATATGTATATATGTATATATACTTCTTCACAGGCCTTTCAGCTTCGTGCGTACAGTATACTCTTCTTAAACCGTTCAAAATATGAATGAAATGCGCTTTTACGTATGTTTTGAAACTTTGCTAATCAGATCGGGGGGTTTGTCTCTTTTATATAGAGGCTTGTGCGATCGTAAGCGCCGCCTCCACAGCTGGGGCGCGCACCACTGGTGGGGGACACGCATGCTCACCCCGTACCCCTTCATCCCCTCGCCTGTATCACTGCCTGCGCACTACCCCTCTCCCCATCTCCTTTTTCTCCTCGTCCGATCACACCGTCTTACGACTTACGATGCGTCGCTCACGTCATATCGCTAGATCGCTACACGTCGGGTCGCCGCTTGTCACGCGAATCTGTCTGCGCGCTGCGACAGGATAGGAGGACATGCGCGCGAGTCAATTAGTATGGACATGGACTTATGTACATATTCTTCACATTCTTCAGGCCCGTCAGACAGATCTTTGTATCGAGTGAATTTATCCGTGATCTTCAATCCAAAACAAACAGTCGTCGTTGTCTTTTTCACTCGACACTGTCCGTACTCTATCCTGCTCCTACCTACTTTGCTGTTTGAATTGCCGGGTAATGATCGCGAATCATTGATCAACGACTAATTCGCGAATAACCTTTTCCTTTTCCGATGGACACCGGAGAAAATGCTCCTATTGAATCTAGAACTGCATCCAAAGCGATAACAGGTTCATGAATTCCACACCAAACACACCGGTATCCTTCGAGCTTCGCGGAAGGTTCCAGTCGTTCGACCTCGTTTGGTCGCGACTGCTCCAGTAGAGATTCTGCCGCTTTCTCGTCTGCCCGATTCGATTCGCTTCGCTTCTACCTTGAGACATTGATCCGATAAGAGGATTCTTTCTCGCTTTTTCCGTGTTTATTCGGGCGCGGAAATAAGGCAATTGGCGGAATAAACGAAATGATACGAGTTTGCGTCGGATTTGATACATAGTATATGTACCTACATTATAAACTCGGCGAATCTCCAACCCCAACTATTTTCAATTCCACATAAATCGTAATCCTGATTAATAAATTGATAGACGAATGTTCGCATGATGAAATACGACCATGTGGAATAATCAACCGGTTCTGTTTGCGTCACCCGCAACTTCGTTTTTGCTGCCTCTCGGGAAACTTCCCTTCTTTCTTTTCCTATTGTTTACACCGATGCGAATTCATCTTCCTAGCCCTTGTTTCCTTTTGAATCGACTTAACCGAAAGTTCTCCCGGTCGTGAAAGGAGCGCAGTCTTAACTTTCGAGAGGAACCAGAATTCGGTCGTTGAATTTCGAACTAAGTAATTCCATTCACAGAATCGGTATTGCAGACGCGTATTGTGTTACGTTTTACAGAATGGCACAGCTCAGCTTTCGTTAAAAAATTACACACCACGGACCTAACCGGAATCTGAACAGAATGAAATTTTTCAAAACTTGTTTGTACAACGAATCCTCCGAGCACAAAACCGTTCGCGCTTTTGCGTCGTGGTATTTGACTTTGTATGAATGCAAAACACCTTTTCAGATAATGTCTTCAACGCAAACATTGATTTTTCTAATGCGCACTGTTGGTACGCGTCATCGAAAACATCGTTACAGAATCAGTTTTTTCCATTCGCATCTTTAATCGTGTTTCAGCGAGCGTATTCACAGTATTGACACACGCGCGTTCCTATTTGAATATTCAACTGGCTAACGTGGTAGCCTCTCGATCGATATTTTCATTTCGGACTTCTTTTCAGCGTTCTTCAAACAGTGGCCGGAGAACGTTATTTCGAAAAGTTTTATTGTCGCGTTCTGTAAAACACCACGTAAATTGTAATTATTGCGACGATATCTCGATCGAAACTTTCGATAAACGCGAATCTCGAAGGCTCGTTCGACGGTGATAAGTTCAGCTGAATCATTTTTATTCGAACAAAACCAGGTTTTGAACGTTATCGCGGCAACTACCGACTTACTGAACTTGACCCCAAATCGCGTAACGGTGACTGCGATTAAATTGGGCAGACAACACACATACCTAAAATTTCTTCTTTATCTTTATCGAATGAGCAAGCTTACGCACTAACGTTATTAGAATTTCGAGGCATGGGGTTTCCGGTTGATGCATCGTGTCTTATCGCAACGTTTGCGACGCAACGATCGTTCGTTCCTGGACCGTTCCACTCCTATTCTCCGAAACGGTCAGAGTTCCCCGACAATCGTCGTGTATCGTTACATCACGGAACACGGTCAACTCGATGATCGATAGAGGTCAATCGATGAAACAAATCGTTAGCGGCGACAAAGGAAAAATACCTGGCAACTTCGACTCGATAAAATTCTGCGAGTGTTGCGTTGACGTAACGAAGAGAGACGCTATTACACAGCCGATGTCATGCGTCGCGTTCGTTTGTTCATTTGTTCGTTTAGTCACGGGACATCTACGGATTCGCCAATACTCACGCGCGAAACAATCGAGCCCCCAAACGATACAACACGAAGGGAGCAACGCGACTTCAGTTCAGGCAAACTTGGAGACCGACTCGAACGGCTAAATTAAAATACGTGATCAAACTCAATTGCGTATATGTGTATGAATTCCAATTTGTTGATACACTCGTTACGTATAATTCCTTATTGACCCGTGTTTCAAACACCATCGACATCCACCTTTCGAGAAATGCGTGTAATATTAACGAATTTTCGAATAGTTCGTGCTTGTATCAATACAATCTGTTACATTCTCCAATTTATAGTCGATGGTCTAGTCTAGAGCTGCTTAGACCAAGCAAGCTTCGATGGTTATCGCAATTTCATCATCATTAACGCAGTAGTCGATCGTAAAATTGGAGTGCGTTATCGCGATGCATTCGTTCGATAATTTATTCTTTCGAGCTGCAAGCAGCCGCAATTAATCGTACTCGAATCTATTTCTACTTTTAGTATCGTCGATAAATTACTACTCTCCAAGAAATTATCTGGCAATTTCGAATTAATATCGAGGACTCCGGGGGAAACCGAAAAAGGATTCCTCTATAAAGAACACTTTTACTGCGAGGAAGAAGAAAAGACACGAGTGGCGAAGGAATGCTCTGGAACCTTCGATTTCAAGTACGATACAAGCTAACAGACAGAAACACGTCACGTCGCCGTCTCGTTCGATGAATTGGCCCGATGCCCTGATTGCTCGGGACTTCGGGGCACGGCTGTCACGTTGTTCGGATCCCCCAGCAGGGGTCAAATAGAACCAACCCCTCAGACACAAACATCAGGGAATTAATCGAGCAAGTCGTTTCTTTGTAGTTGACGTCATTGTCGTACTCGAACAATATGATGTCCATCGATTTCTCTGTCGTCGATCAATCTACCGCGTTCTTTCAGCCTTCCTGTTTCGTTGATTGTACTCTGTTTAGAAGGTACGGAATAAATTTGAGAAACAAAATAGTTTTTTGCATTTAATGAATGCTTTGTATGAAATTATTAATCTAATAAGCCCGCATCTGGTTCCGCTGATTAAATCAATAGAATCTCACTGGACATGTATTGCATGCCCGTAGCAGTATCTCGACATCGTATCTACGATCGGTGAACCAGTTTCTCGTCCGAAAAGCACCTAGCCGTGCAACAGGACCATTACGATGTTTAATTAAAGTGTCTGATGTTGGAATTATGTTGTGTTCTTCTGGACAATCGAAACGTAAACTAAAAATGTTGGAACTTTTCATTCAAATATCTTGCTTTTTTCTCGAGCAGTTAAGCAAGTTCAACAAGGCAAAGGATTTATAATATGCGAGAAGCGAAACGTCACCACTCCCATCATTGTTCGATCCATTTTAAATTTTCAGATGCGTGTCTCCGGTGTCAAGCGGAAAGCAAGAAGGATTTCTACGGCCGACAGCAGGATTGCGTGGTCGTTTGGGGAGAGTGCAATCATTCGTTCCACTACTGCTGCATGTCTCTTTGGGTGAAGCAGAACAACCGTTGCCCTCTGTGCCAGCAAGAGTGGTCTATTCAACGAATGGGAAAATAACTAAACCACGAAGACGAAATACTCAGCTCTCTTCCCTCTACACTACACCTACACTCTATTCTTTCTAGATTCGTTCGTCTTTACCCTGTATCCTCGTTTCCCTTCCTCTGTCTTTTTATTTCTCCTTGTTCACTTCCTCCCCTCGTACCATATTTCTCTCTCACTGTCACTCTCGATTCCTTGTTTTTTTCTTCCTAAAATTCGTAGAATTGTTGGCACGACTGTTCGAATAGTTCTGCGAGATGACATCGCGTTAAAAATCTGCGGTTGCGTGAAATCTCGATTACGAAGGAGGTACAATTGCATCGGCTTTCAAGATTAATACCATTCATTAAAAGAAAATTTATTCTTAGAAAGTTCTTTCTCCCGATCGTTCCGAGCCATTCGATTGATGAAGTTTATCTCGCACACCGCCTAATATGAAACATTATCTCCGAAGAATTTTGCGAGAAACACTGGTTTCGCTGTGAAACACGATGAACGAGTAAAAAAAAAAGACGATCCACGTCGTGAGTTGCACGTTCTTACGTTGTAATCCCAGAGCCCAAAGTTCAATCTGTCTGGCTTCGCGCTATCGAGAGTCGCGAGATTGTTCGATTTTTGATGGTATCGCAATTTTTTGTACAGAAAAAGGATTGCATCATCGATACAATCCAGCTCACCGAAAGTGTCAACGAAAGAAAAGTTCAATGTCCCTTTATTGTAATTGTAATCAAATATCTAGTGCTATTCGAGCATGCAGTGGGGTGGTCTTTTCAGGTCTCGTATTTTCTAGAATACGAAATCGTCACGTAATTTGTACCGACCACATAGTGTCGAAACGACGACCATACCAAATTTATATGCATATTCTATTCGATCGATGGTGTTAGCCTTTTTCGTGGAATTCGACTGGATTGTGCCGTGTTGCACGACTATGAACCTCAGTTGAGGCATGCGATGAGCAAGTATATAATTGCGGTCCGAGTCCGAATACTCGAAGGTCGCTCCTTTCTTCTCCTCTCTTCTCCCACAGCATGCCCTCTTCACTTCTTTTCTCTTTTTTCCTCTGTTGGCGTTCCTACTATTTCCATCCCGTTTGGCTTGTTTTTTCCTTTTGGTCGCGTTGTATGCCCACCGGCAGTCCGCTTTTCTCAGAGCGGCACCAACAGTGCCTGACTGGCATTACGTGTCGTCACAAGCGTGGAGGCTCGACCGGAGGCTCGACCAATCGCATCGTAGAAGGGCATAACTGCCTTCCCGTGTATTTATGACCTCGCAGTTGCCGCCACCACTTCTTTCCTCTCTTCCATCTTTCTCTGCTCTCTATCCGCTTGCCCTCTACCTCTACCTTTCCGGACACACGCTTAATGCTTTCTCCCCCCCCCCCCCCCCCCCCCCCCCCCCCCCCCCCGTTCACTGATTCTTCACCGGTACTCCACCTTTTTTCTCTCTTTGAACTTTGCTACATAAGCTTTCAAAAACGAGCCTTAAAAATTGTCCATCTAAAGAAGCCTTGATAGTAACAAAATATTAACGGCTTTCCTCAGTGTTAACGTGTTTTGATTCTTTAGTATGTGGACTTTGGACCAATTCTAAATCAATCAATCGATTACAATCAAATTTGCAAGACATTTCAATCATACGCGATATTGTCACAATTACATATGTATGTTGAAGAAGGATGATTAACTGTGCACTAAGTATCGTTCAACATTCTCGTGTGTAAGTACCGTGTCGCTACTACACCGTGGCAACCTATTTATGTGTTTTTTTCATCGGCAAATAGTGGAAGTTGAAAAACTATAAAAGTAGCCAGAGTTGGACAACATTAAGTATCGTTCAATTGTATTTTTTGGTCATCTACGTTAGTAACTATCTGTATTATGTAGCGTGGATGTGGAAATATACTAAACGTTTCGATGAATAGTGTTGGAGCTGCGCGCGCGCGTGTATGTAGAAACAAAAATAACAGTTAGGTGCCGATACCGAATGACGCAACGCACGCAAATGTGTTCGTCACGTTTCTCTGGAAAGGCGAACGTGCCACGAGTCGAGGTCGATTCGAGCCGAGCCTCCGCGTAGCTCGTTTTTCATTGGCTGTACGCGAATAGCAATCGGAGAAGTTATGTCCTGAATTTGTGTTCGTTACTCTGCCTCGTCATTTTTTCTCTACGCGAAAAGCTGTACCCTTTTGAACGTTACTCATATAATTCAGAACATTACAGCACATCGTTCCACGGAATTACTTCCTCACATAGCGTCTACTATCTGCCAGTAAGCGCGATTTCTCTTTAGGATATAACGTAGGAATTCGTTATGTTACACGGTTACAAGAATTTATGATGGCACGTGTACACGTATTTCGGAGCAAATACATATGTACGCGCAGACGAACAGACGCTGGCATGACCAGCCAACACGCAGCTGCATGCACACAAATGCACACGTACCTATGCTCTCCAGGGACACAAACCTGGCTGGGTATTTTTTATTGCCTTTGAAACCACGCATTCGAAATGGCAGTCTCTTTAAGAATGTATTGTACTTTAATATTTCATCGGATGTTTCTTCGTTGCAATCGTCACGTAATAAGATAGTCGAACTTTTTTTTCGAGGTCAGTCGAAGAATGTTTTTCTCTATGCAATGCGATTAGTAAGAAAACCTCTGTTAAATTCATCGAGAGCGTCAGTGGCGCCAATGGTTGAGCATAATCAAAAGGTCGCTGCGATCAAACGGAGGCTCGTCCAGGCTCGTCGCATTTTACCAATCAGCTAATGGTATTGTAGCATATTTCAACACGGATTCTATGCTGCTGCAAACTGAATATGTACATACATACATAACACACTAGCTTCTCTCGTGATTGCAAGTTGAGGACGAACCGAGTTGATCCCGAGTATACGGATCGATACTGGTTTTATGTTTCTTTTTCTTTTCAAGTGTTAAGCATTCATCAGTAGCAACGGTTCTTACGTCACTTTATAAAAGGTAGAAGTATTCTGTATGCTTTATCATAACGTGTTATTAATACATATTGACTATTTTATTATGTGGTTTATCAACCAAATTATTTTCGAATTCGCTAACTCACCGATATACATGAATTATACTATGAAATTAGTATGTCGTTAGCGTTCCTATTATAGAATGTCATGAAATTATAAACATGTTAAGGCTCATTTTCAATAATTATAATAATGATACGAAATATATAGTAAAACATCTATGATCTTAATGCTAAGTAATGAAAACATTTACAAATAATTGGTTGTTTGTTAGCAAGATTAAAGATAATAGCGTACAATTCGATCGGTATCTCCAATTTTCTTCAAACTTTAACCTGTTGAAAGTTGCTGTCTAAAAAGCCAAAATATCATTTTAAAAAATTCGCGAACAATTATAAATACCCTTAATTTTAAGTTATATTTGTATCCGAAACCTAACCTAAACGTCACTATAAATGCAAATTACATAAGTGAAAGAACATAAACTGTAAACAGTAAAAAAAAAGAGGTGTAATTGTTTATAAATATAGCTAGTTTAATAAATATATATATATATATATATATAATTTTCAAAATTGTTTGCGACATTTTTTAAAATGATATTTTGCTTTCTTAAAGAGCCCCTTTCAACATATTGAAGTTTGAAGAAAATCGAAGATACCGACCGAATTGTACACTATTACCAGTTTAAATATTCAACGGAGAAGTGAAGTAAACCAAATATTTTGAATTTTAATTAGAATTGTTTGTAGCTTGTAATGCTATAGTATCGTTTAATTTGGATTATTTGGACGTGAAAATTTCCGTGTTCTGTGTTTTTTTTTGCATCATTTAAATCGTTTAATACGTGTCCAATTTGTATTTTTACAAATGAGTTACAGTAATTCCTCAAAAATCTCTAATTTATAAACTCTCCCAATTTTAGGGTCGCTTGAACAGCGATCTATTGAACAACCATGTTGAACGTTCAACATATAAAAACGGTGTTGCACAACATATTCGTCCTTTACTCACTAATGCGATCTAAAAATGTACATGTTCTTGTCATTTATTCTTTACTAAACATAGAATGTTGAGTTTTTGTCGAATCAGTTCGCTGTGGATGTTTATGCAAATTCAGTTTTAGATATTAATGTATAATTATTATAATTATACATTAACATACTAACACGTATGTTTATTTTACTATTTTTTTTTTGCAGGTTAATGGATGCTACATATAAATGTATAAATGACCACGTTCTACTGATCGCTTGAAACTACTTTCAAATGTCTTCAGATAGAATGTTTAGAGATTATTAAGGGAATACTAAATTTACATATTAAAAATGAATCTTTTGAAGTAAATATTTCTTCTATTTCCCTATAATTATACATATACATATGTACTTTCACATTTTTCCGATGAATTTAAGGAGATTCTTCACTTTGTGGAAACAAAAAACGCGTTAATTGTTAAGGCACTCTCGCTCCGCGATGTACCACAGATGCCTGTCAAGCCTTTTTCGAAAATCAGAGATTCGACGCGAAGTGTTTCAATTTTCATCAAGGAAATTACCAAATGTGGACTTACTTTTAGGGCATGACCGAAAAGCTCATAGATAAAAATACAAGTCGCTCTGGAATTGAGAAGAATTTCCATTATTTATGGTCGTCACTTAAAGATTAAACTTCTGAAGTTATTCAATCTCAGATGATTTCAACGGAAAATTATGATATTGCCTGAAATCTATTAGTAAAGGCGTTATAAGCGATTGATTATTAATTATCATGTACATACGTCCATACGTTTGAAATTCTTGGTGAATCAATTCATGTCTCAGAAATGTTAATCATTCATTTAATTTTTTACCAAATGGGACGCGTCGCGTAGCGAGAATGGGAGGAAGGGATGGCCATAGAAAGAAGTGGTATACACTATACACACGACGAACATTAGAATTTCGACAAGCACATTCCGTGAAATGTGCCCCATTGAATTGCGATATTGCGACACAAACGTTTCCACAGTACCTATCTATTACGAATGACACATATACTTGCGCGAATCGCATCGTCTTGTTCTGTTGTTCCTACTAGCACAACATTTACATACATGCAACACAGTATTCGGTAATATCTACACTTTTTTTATATTCTATTGCAAAGTGTACCTTACATAACCGTAATTTTGTACACGATCGATGGCTTTTATCTGTTGTATGTTTTGGATTTTTTTACCTAATTTGGAATAAACGTCATTCAAAAGAATTACAATACATTTCAAGACATTTCTGTGCAGCATGACATGGCCCTGGAAATTTGTCATTAGTTTAACGTAGGGCACTTACATCGGAATGCAGATAAACGATTACGACGAGAAGAATGTTTGCAAATTCTATCATCTTGAGAGCACTCTATATCTTACACATTTTCAAATAAAACATACTCTTCGTTCAGCAGTAACAGTTCAAATGTAAAATTAATAAACACGTTGAATTTAAGATTCTTCCAATAATCTCAATACATCGTAGCATGATTGTCGCAAATGCATCAGTCTCTGGAAATTGAATGAGCTCTCCTATGCGTGCAGCAGTTTTCATTTATGGAATTGAATAAATTAAATATACGTACTAATTCTCAAGTACTACAGATGGATGGTTAACGCAATTACTGCCCTTTTATCTATGTTTTGGTGCTGAAATTTGCGTTTCACGCTTTCGAATTAAATATGACTATTCAATTGTTACCGTCAGTACACACGTAATAGCAGCGTTTACAAAGATATATTATAAAGTTAATTAAAACGGGTTTCTATTCGAATTATTATCCTGCAGCTAATTTGATAGGCAAGGAACAGTGAAACCGCTATCGAGTTAAATAATATTATGTTTAAACGGTAAAACGGTGCTCATTACGAAGGCACTTGGGTGTACAATACTTTTCTGTTTTTTTAAATAACTCGATATAAAAAATACTTTTTACGACGACAGTGCCTATCACAGGCAATATAAACATTCGTAAATTAACAATATAACGCTTCTACAGTAAGGCCACACTTGGAATGTAACATTGTCTAACAAAGGCCACTGAAATATTTTTGGACATTTGCATATTCTACAACAGTGCTGTTCACGCGTGGGTCTTCTCACGTATTTTAGAAATTCCCTTCGTGCTAATCATTACAATGGCCACCGACAATAAAAGACAGATTTTAAAATTCCTGCGTTCGATGAAAGTGGCAATTGATAATGTCATGTTTGGCATCTTGATTTACTCTATTACCTACTGAGTAAATCTGGAACAGCACTGCTCTATAATCTAACGTGTAATAACGGACTTAAGTACGACCGTAGATATGATTACTTTCGTAACCGATATCCGTGTTAATAAATCAGTTACCGCACTTCTTCTTTTTACATTGACTTGTCAACAGTTGGTGTGTCTGGAACCTCTCATCAATGGAATCAAAATACTCGGGCTTTGAGCTTGTCTAAGAAATGGATGTTGTAATAATTCAGTAGCCGTAGCTCTCTGCGCCGGATCACGAACAAGCATTCTTTCAAGAAAACCTTGAAGACGTGGACTGACCTATAAGTACAAATAAATGTAATTGTTCCATTAAAGACCAAAATTCCCAAGCATACGCAGCTTACTTTGTGAGAGTTTTTCAATTTTGGTGGAGGCATATCTCTGATACGTCGCATGGCTTGTAAAGGCGGTTCGTTGAAAAAAGGTGGCTCTCCGTCAACCATTTCAATAATCATTATACCTAATGACCAAATATCTACTTCGGGTCCGTATGGTAACCTGAAACGTCGGATGTACGCCCGTAATTAACGAATGGATATCGAGACAATTTTAAAACGATCACAAATTGTATCGTACCTTGAAATAACTTCAGGACTCATCCAGTACGGTGTTCCTACAAGAGACTTTCGCCTAGGCAATTCTTGGGAAACTTGAGCACAAAATCCAAAATCGGATAACTTTACCCTGCCGTCAGCCGTAAGTAGTATAGAGTCCGATTTGATATCTCTATGAATGACACCTTGTGAATGCAAGTATGCAAGTGGCTTCAAACACTGGGAACACACTGTAGCTATCTGGCTTTCATCCATTCGCGAATGCGTAACGATATCTGTCAGTGCTCCTCCCTCGAGATACTCCATTACAACCCACAATTCATCATCCACCAAAAAACTATCATACATTTCAACAATGTTCGGATGATGATAATCTCTCATGATAACCACTTCATTGAAAAGTAATTCTCGCCTCTGCTGCTTTCTCAAGTCCATCTTCTTCACTGCCACTTGCCGATTTGTATTCTTTTCGGTTGCTATACACACTGTTCCAGTACTACCTTCTCCAATTTTAAGGAAATTTTCTAAATTCTCTCTTGGATCTCCTCGACTTACCTAAGATGTCAATATGTGGAAAAGTAGTTTCAGAGTACCATGTATACAATAGTTTACATGCATTATCAATACTAAGTTTCCTTCACTTACCACCATCTGTAAAGCAGCTCGAAATTGTTCGTGTGTAAGCCTTTGTTCCGCTGTTGTTTGTTTAGTGGAAGCACTTGAACTTGAACCAACTGCTAGGTTCCCAGAAGATAAGGCACTTTTCATATTTTGATTTTGATCTGGAGTCGAACTACTTCCAGAGGATGGTACGTTTGATTTGGATAAATTATGCATTGACTGAGATATCTCAATAGGCTTCTTCATTTGAGATGGTAAAACTGATGAATTTTCTTGCATACTATACACTTGCGAATACTTGTTGATGTTATGCGAACTTAATTGACTTAAAGGTCGTTGCGAAGCAATGGATCCAACTGGTGAAATTTTGGGTTGCATCTTTTGCACAGCAACATTTTGAGCTGCCTGTTGGTCCCTCGCGGATGACTCAGTATTTGACAAAACCTATTCACAAAGAGCAAGATCTCTGGAATACTTTGTTAGCCATTATATTATTAATTAAGCACTATAACTGAAAATTGGTTACCTGAATATTTCCATTATATTGGCTAGACGTTATTGTTAATTGAGAGTTCAGTTTGTGAAAATCAGGATCTGCAAGTTGAGGGGTACATGGACTTGACACAGGACTTTGTGGGTTCATAATAGGACTTAAATTTTGAAAATTTAAAGATAGATTTGGAGCATTGGATCCTGTCTGAGTTAAGTTTGGAGATGACTGCATGTTTGGATTGAGATTTTGAAGATTTGGAATCATATTTTGTACATTAGGATTTAATCCAGTCGCAACATTGGGTGAATTTTGACGTAACTTCTCAACATAATTATGCTGCTTTGCAAAATTACTGTATCCCTGTATTTGATTCGTACTGGATGATACTTCTTGACCTTCTGGCACAGAAGGTGGTAGATTACTATTATGCCTATGAAAATATAAGCAAACTTATGATATATTATAAAAATTTATTTGAGTCTATGGTAGAACAGAATTACCTGTAATCCCTCCTGAGTCTTGGTGGGCTTGAAGAACGAAGAGAATTAGATCTAGCAACAGTACCAGTTTTGGGTAATCCATTTTCTGTAGTTTTATCGCTAAAACATATCCTTCCTTTAAGATCATTATGACCTCTGACAATAGTCTTCAAATCAAGAATTTCCGTGGGTGTTATTTCACTGGGATCCACTAGAGGTAATGGTCTGTTTGTAGATTTCAAAATTTGATTGTTTCCTACTATAGAAGCCCATTGTAATGGAAGTCCGATAAACTTTCCTTCTCGCTTGTCAAATCCAGTGTGTACACGATGTTCAAAATTTGTTGGGGTTGATATTTGTGGTTTCTTTTTCTTTTTTGCAAACATTGCCCTTTCTGTTAAAAGCAACATCAAGATAGTACAGCAGCATATACTGACAGAAACAGAATATATTTGAAAGAATAATCAAATAGAATGCTGTTTTAAATGCGCACAGATTACGTTTCTTTGTTTGCACAAGAAACACCTTAATTGTTCCTTTTAAAGAAAAAGAAGTTCGATCGAATGTGTCAATCGGTCATCGCTATTTCTTAATTTTCTAAGCAGATTTTCTCGAAATTATTGGACAATGGCATACGAAGATTATTAACTGTTAGCATGTTTCTCCGATAGATAGATAGAACGCACATTACTGTTGAAACTTCTGAGAAAATAATACAGACAGAAGGAAGCAAAATGACAGGACGCCTACCAGTAGTACCAGTACGTGATGCGACCGCCTTAAAGTGATTTCTTTCAACCTTTGTTAAGTCTTCTTCAGCTTAATCTTTTCTTGTAATTTCACACAGATTCCAGAATACAGTAAATTGGAGGTAGTGGCAAAACATATGAAAAGTTCAGAGATAAAATAGGTAAATACGACATTTAGCCTTTCAATAGGCCGTTTACACACCGGCGCTCCGCGCGGAGAGCTTACGAATCTTACTTGGCATTTGGCTCATGACAATTTACTTAAATGTGCGTGAGCTAGCACCTGCAATGAGATTACTACAATGAATATCACGCACGGAAAACTGTGTCGAGAGAAAGCGATTATCGATTCCGCTTCGACGAGAAAAAGATTCGCCGATTTACAATCAGCGGCATACTGTAGAAAGTTTTATTCGAACGATTATTCTTATGACTTGATAATGAGAATGTTGGCATGGAATGAAATGTTTACGCAGAAGACACCGAATGAGAATCAAAAGGTTTCTCAAGTTTCGAAAGAGACATAATTTATTTCAGACAATATTTTCAGATATTTTAAAATTGTTTCGTCGTTATACTATATTGATTATGTATATTAATACATTATTGACATCTACTAAGTATCGTCGCGCGAAAAGAACAGATACACACATTATATGTATATGTATATGTGTACATATAATTATTTTGAGGATAAAAGAATGGATTTCAAAATTTTTGTCATAGCACACGATATTGCAAGATGAAATAATAATTGTTGTGCTCCAGTTCGCAAACAGCTTAAAGGCGTCTCAGACCTAAAATAGTCGTAGAATGGGCGTCTTAGAGGTGTCATGTTCTATCTGGGTTAGATTTGCAAAAAAGGTTCTTCTTGAAATGCGTATACATATAATTACAGTAACATATAATGCATTTATTATGGTTATCCTCGAAACAAACAAGTTGATCGAAGTTTTCCACATGACAATGAAAAACTCGTTACGGTTACGGGACAGAAGCTACCAAACAAAGGAATCCTTGCAAGTGTTTCGTTTCGCGATGTTTTATCGAGATCGTGTGGTGTGTTAGGCGCGCGCGTCCTCGCCTCGCGTGTATCGGCTGCGTAGTTTTTAGAGTTATGTATGTATAATTTGATGATTAAGATAACTATAGATAATCAATAATTATCAAAATAGCTCCTATTTTCACTAAAAGTGTGTAAAATACGAAAGAATACGTAAATTTTCATTTTTTCATATGTATTCGTCAATATTTGGGGTATTGCCAGAAAATATTTCACCTTTTTGTCGCTTTTATTAATTATGATAGATTATATAGAATAATATAGATCATAGCTACATCAAGATGGAATACTCATCTTTTTCAACAATATATATATATATATGTAAATAGAAAATATTTTCTATACATCCTAATTGCTTATAAATGCAACGGCCGTCTAATTACTTATTAGCGTATCGTAAGCTGAATTCTAGCCTAACAAAAAATGCAGAACCAATTTTACGAATTCTATGGATACTTCGAATCTCAAGATCGAGCGCGATCGTTCAACTCAAAAGTTCCGTGTATAACGTACTACATAGAGGTATGGTCAAGTAGCAAGTTTATGTATGCACCTATGTGCGTAAAATCGTGTGTGAACGCATGGTATTTATGTAACGTATGCCTGTCATGTGCAGTAAAACGAACAGTATATATAGTTTTGTGATATACATAGATGTAAATCGATCGAACAAGAAGACAAATTTAATTTCTTCGAGACGATATCAAACATTTTTATAACACTAATATAAAAGTAATTACGTTATTATAAAACACAAAGGACAGAATAAAGCAATTTTAATCTGCGCGTTTTGCTTCACGAGTGAGATGTGTAATCCTCGTTGTAAGTATAGATACAAGAAGATCATTTCGTGGACGACTAGTCTTACCAGAAGAATGATCAAGTATAGATTGTCACGCGAAACATTTCGCCAATAAAACGAGTTCACGCGTTCATATTCTTCTACCTTCCGAAAACGCGCGTCATCATACTTAAGGTTACTCGCAACTGTACAATATTGACCGCATCCAGTCTCGTGCAACATGATTCGTTCTATTTATTTTACACTTAGCGTGTTCTTCGATCGAACAAGATGCAAGCGAGCGAATAAAACAATTTCACTTTCAGAACAAAGTGTAGTAAATGGAAGATTTTAAAGTGAAAGATGAACCAATGGATGCATTAAACATAGACAGTCAGGTTATGGTAAACGTTTTCTATGAAACAGCAGCACCATACAATACAATGCTTCTGCAAGGACTCTAACCTAAACCTTACTTTAAGGACGAAAACATTGTAAGCGTTGTACTTAAAGAAGAACCTGGCGATAGATTTGAACCCGACTACATGGAGGACATCTGCTCTGGTACATTCGAGAAGGTATTTTTACCTATCGAAAATAACGAGGTTGATTTTTCTAACGAAATGGTAATTTTCAAAATTATCTATGGCCGATCTCTGTTTTTTTTTTAAACAAGAATCGATCGATCCAGCAGAAAGCATTGATTCTAGGTAAAACTCGAATTGGATGGCGAATCTAGCAGTCATCCGAATTGGACAGCTCAGATCGCTAACACGAATTTATGTGACAAAGAAGAAGGGGCTATACAAAGATGCTTGGCGAATGCGAACTTTACTCAACCACAAGACACAGAGAAACATTCTGGGTTCTGTCCAAATGGACAACAACTCAAATTTTATAAAATACAATGCTCCATTTGCAAAAAGTGGTTCTTAAATAACGATTCAATGGTTACACATTTAAGAATGCATTGTAGTGGTAGCCAGTGCGAGGTTTGCCAGCAAAATTTCCACGATAGTTCCAGTCTACACGCACATATGTTGACCCATGTTGGAATGAGCCCGTTAGAGTGCAATGTTTGTCAGAAACGATTTGCTTACAAATGGTGTTTGCGCAGTCATATGCAAATGCATGTACTAGAAAAACCATACGATAATAATACATTGCAGGATACATTTATGAAACGGCCAGACTCTGAAAATGACCACTCGATCGGCGCAGGAGACAGAATATTCGAGTGCGATGTTTGTCACGCGAATTTTAAAGGGAAACATGGTCTCAATCGGCACGTGCTTATTCATACAGGAGAAAGGCCGTATAAATGCGACATATGTTTTGCGACGTTTAGAGAGAAAGCAAAACTAAATATGCACATGATGCTACATGGGGGAAATAAACAGTTTAAATGTACAATGTGTCACAGATCATTCACGCAGAAAACCGCGTTGAATAATCATATGTTAGCGCATAGCGGTGAGAAACCCCATGCATGCAATATTTGTGAGAAAACGTATAAACGGAAGTCAGAGTTGATACGCCATACAATGGTACATACCGGCGAGAGACCGTATGAATGTAAAGAATGCCTAATGACCTTCAGAGAGAAGGCAAAGTTAAATTCTCATATGCTCGTACACACCGGTGAAAAACCGCACGAGTGTCACATTTGTCACAAAGCTTGTGCACGAAAATCGGATCTTAATAGCCACATGTTATTACATACCGGTGGTCAATACGATTGTAAAGTTTGTGATAAAATATTTACTCGCAGATCGGATCTAAATCGGCATACTTTGATACATACAGGCGAGAAACCATATGCTTGTGAGTTATGCGATATGGCATTCCGAGAGAAGACTAGACTGAATTCTCATATGCTTATACATACCGGCGATAAGAGGCATATGTGTCATATTTGTCAGAAAACATTTAAAGAAAAATCCTCGTTGCGAAAACACATGCTAAGTCACACCGGGGACAGGCCATATGAGTGTTACGTATGTCACAAAGCATTTACCCAAAAAACGACATTGAATAGCCACATATTAGTTCACACAGGAGAAAGACCGTACGAATGTAGCGCGTGTCAGAAAATATTTAAGGACAAAGCAATGCTGAAAAAGCATTTATCGATTCACGTTAATGAAAAAACTCACGAATGTTTGATCTGTTTAAAAAAATTTGCCCACAAAGCCGCATTACATAGTCATTTATCGACGAATCATACGTCCTAATTAGAAAGATCTAGTCCAGTTTATTTGAGCTTTTAGTTTATTTTTATCAAACACCTGTGTACGTCTGTAGTTGCATAAGGATGATTATGTGTATCTATCTATACGCATCTGTTTTATATGCTCACTGATCTGATCAGTCGCATACTTACCTGTATATCATTAAGTACAATAAATTAATTTTTAATTAATCGGAAGATTTTCTATTATTAAATATTTTGAAGGATTCAGAAAAAATTGCGTACATTACGATTACGAATTAATGTTTTGTACTAACAGCTTTTGTGATGTTTTGAATTAATTTTTTATTTCTTTGTAATTAGTATGGATCAAAACATGTGACGTTATGTACAACCAGATATTCAAGCTTATTATTGGTCAGGAAGAACAACAGCCAGTTGCTTGGGTGGTTTCCTATACACGACACTACAATTAGAGAGATTACTTTTTAAGTATGTACAAGTATTGGTTTGGTGTGCTTGAGTGTGTACACAGCATAGATAATAGATAGCATAGAAATATAGACGATGGAGTTATTTCTCCCGTACTCGCACATCGCAGAGGGAGGAGAGAAAGCGACTGGAGGGCGATGATGAGAAGGAATGCTGCACTCATATAATGCCTCCATTCAGCCGTAGGAGAATCCCCCACCAACAGCCCCATTAGAAAGAGATGTCTGTTACTCTATGTATTATCCTCTCACTCACTGCCAACCTCATCCCTACCATAAGACCGCGTAGTCTATTATATATGTCTATGCAGTTGAAAAACCGTAAAAGACTAATCAGTGTTAAAAGTTTGGAAAAACCATGTGCCAAGATTATAGAATAGCATAATGGTCACATCATCAAATAACTTGGTTTCATGGGGATTTACCCATCATTGGCGAAGGCACCTGCCTCTCTATCTAATGGGACTCTTGGTGGGAGGGAATCTTTTTCGGTGTAGTGGAGGCATTAGATGCGTGCATGCGTAATATCCCTTCCCCTCATTGCCCTCCAATCGCTTTTGCCCCACCGTCTGTGATGTGCGAGCATGGGTGTTACTCTCGCGCTACTTCTGTCCTTCGGTCTCGACTTCAGCCTACCATAAGACCCGCGCAATTTATTATACATATATGTCTATGGGTCCACCCAGGTCCACTCAAGTCCACCTAGTGAGAAATACATTTTCTAGTATGTAGTATCACCGACTAGATATAGAATAGACCTATCATCCAATGCTTTTTTTTGTCCCACGTTCATAGGGCTACGTAGCCCTGTTACCATTTTAGTGTCAATACCCGACGTTCCGATAAAGCATGAATTCTGAGTATTATTAGCACAAATGAAGTGTTATATATTCCATTCATATTACGTGTATCTATATGATTTCATGAGAATAAAAATATCCGATGCTTCAGTTTAAGGTTAAGGGATAAATATGACAGTCATGAAACATGAAACGGAAAAGTATATATTTTTTCACTTAACTACAAGACAATTTATTCTAAATGTATCGTTAATGGCATTTTAGTAATGTTACTTTTTACATGTTCTTGTTTTATTCGTTTTTATATCTTGCCTTACATTTGTATATTTGTAACAGATAAATTCA